TGGGTAGTTTAAGTCTTGGGCCATTAGGGTAGTCTTGGGCCAGGAGATAAATATTACTTATAAAAAAAAATCTGGGCAGAGGTTGAGCCCAGAAGTTTAGGGTGGGCCTGTGCCCACCCTGGTCTTTATTGGGCTCTGCCCCTGTTTACCACATCATGGTGGCTCCATTTAAATTGAGGCAAATTTGGGTGAAAAGGTAAGGCTAATTTCTTCAACCTCTTAAACCAGTTTATTGTATTTTGGTTCAGTTGACATGATAGAGTGATTGTCTCTTATTGTTGCGCAAATAACTGTGGAAGTACTAAGTGATCATCGTATAGAAAACATCTCTGTTGAATTCGAACCAAAACTTGAGGAGTCTTAGTGTCACGATTTTTGTAATTTTATTATGAATCCACGAGGAGCTACCTTCTGATGTTTGATTAATGTAGCATTTCTTTTTGTTTAATTTTCAATTTGGATTGAAATTTTAATTTTGGATGCAACACACTTACTGAAATTTGGATTGATACAATGGTCTACTATGGTCTTCCATAGAATTGTGTTGTAACTTATTCTGCATATCAGAAAATTGGAATTCATGTGAAATGTTCCAGACTTTGAAAAGGAGGCATTTTTTAGCAAAAGATGTATTCTTTAGGCTTCATTCTTATCTCTTGTTGAGTTGCATGCATATTCAACTCATATTATAATGTCACTAACTTCTAAGGTACATGAATTAAACAATTTTACTTCAACCAATATGTACCAATTGACTGAACTAAACTAATCGACCACATTTATATTTACAACATGCCTACTTCAACATGACTACTTCAACGTAAACAACTAATCAAGACGTGTCCACCCCCTTCAGTTTGCCTTCGGTAGGTAATTTTTCTATACGAACCGTCACATTTACAGTCACATTATTTAGCCAAACTTGAGATTGGAACATTCGCGTCATATCTTCAACTTCTTCATTCACTGCTTGTTTAGCCCTAGTATCGCTAGATTCGCCGATTACTTCTCCATCTTCACACCAATTCCAAAACCCACACTTCACACTGCATCATTTGAAGAATTTACCTTTATTAATGGTGTCTCTTTTAACCTCAAAAAATTCTGAAAACCATGTACACAAAGTGGACATCGACATTTTACCGGGCAATCACTGAAGAAGTGTCCAACACTCCTGCAATTGTGGCAAACTCCGGAGTTCTTTCCTGACATTCTTTGTTCCTGAAACATTCCAATTTACTAGCAGTTGTCTATATATTTCAATACGTCGTTCTAACAAAACTAAATGTATAGGTTAACAATAGTAAAACATAAGAGAAATGTATTTAAGGTGAACAATGAAGTGCAGGTCCTAGTGCAAAACATAGGACACTTGACAATAATTGACATGATTACAAATGATATTCTTAACATTCAGAATACTAGTATCAAATATAAGATTTATGTAGATTATGTAAGCAAAAGAAAAACTTGAAAGCATCATAAGCACAAATAAGTTACTTCCAATACAATGACAACCCACAATCATGATATTACCATCAAGAGCTTCTTTTAGCATCTCATTTCCCTTACACATACACACAATAGCTCAAGGAAATTACAAAAAGGTCAGACGCCTTTCATATATTTCATTCCAGATATTCACGTGCAACAGGGAATTATAGAAGATGTATCATGTGCAAAAGGGAATTATAGAAGAGAATGAACTGTCAAACTAAAAAAACACAAACTGCAGTGTCTATGTGAAATGTTCAAGGAACACATGGATGGAAACTACAGCATCTCTGTTGCCATTCAATTCACAAACATTTCAAAAAAAAATCAACTCAGGCAAGACTTTTCTCAGGAATCAGCTCAGGCATAAATTCTCTGAGAACAGAACACGAAAAAAAAAGACTTGAAATTCATTCACGTACCCTTTGGTGTACTGATATTGCATAATGAAATTCAAAATATAGTGCGAATTAAGCAAATGATGTATCCACCCAATCATACCTACTACAACGATTGAGGGATAAGATTTGTCGATCGATTGTTTGTGGTATTCGACCGTCTCTGACACATTGGGTTTGAAAACGATGCGGATCTGGGAGTAATGTACAATGCCGGAGTTGATCGACTGCCGGAGGTGGGGATGACGCTGGAGTTACGGGTGCTGCCGGCCCTAACTGGCTGGTGGTGGTTTGTGATTTTGGGAGGAAGGGTTTGATCTCTGATTTGGGGGAAATGGGGAAAGAGAGAACGGCATTGGCTTTTCTAATTTTTAAGTTTTTTTTTTTAATTTATGCCACGTCACTTTGTCATCTAACTTTGTCAAGGGACTTTGCACACATAGCGCGATTGACTTTATCTTCATCTTTGTGATTCTCCTCTTCTCCTTGACATTGCCAAACTGGTAATCCATTCATAATTGATTTTTTAATATATATACTCTCCCGTCTCAATTATATAGGTTTGTTTCATTTTTCACACGGATTAAGAATGCTTCTTTAATGTCATTGGAAAATTAATTTTTGTCAAGATCTTTCTTAATTTACCCCTATTTAATTTTNATAGGCTTGTTTCATTTTTCACATGGATTAAGAAAGCTTATTTAATGTTATTGGAAAATTAATTTTCGCCAAGATCTTTCATAGTTTACCCCTATTTAATCTTCAATATGTAAAACTAAATTATTGTTTGAACTAATAAAGAATTTGAAAAGGAAGGAGAAATGAGAGTTGTTTCATATTTTCAAGAAGTGGGAAATGTGTGTATTTGGATGATTTTAAAAAGTTGGCATATTAAGTGGAGAAAGTTTAATAAGGGTATATTGGTAAAGAAACACAACAAAATATTTTACATTACGAAACATGCCTATATATTTGGAATAAGAGAAAAATGAAACCCAGCCTATATAATTGGGACAGATTGAGTATAATCTAGACATTTTTGGGTCGGGGATGAGTTGATTTTTAATTATTTATTTGTGACCCATTTATAATTTTTTGAAAATTTTGAAATTATAATTTCAATTAATTCTTTATTTTTCGTTTAATTTAAATATGAGGGTATATTTGTCATTTCACATTTTTTTAAATTGAGAAATTGAGCTGAAAATATGGATGAAAATGTCAAAAAATAAAATGTAGGACATTTCTCACAAAGAACTCCAAACGAATGACGTTTTGTACTAATAACCCATAATGAATATATGTAACACTTGAAACCAAAAACGTGGAAAGTTCGTGTGATTCTCTAAATGTGAGAAAATGCCTTGAAATTGTCATGAAGCTCAAAAAATGTCTCTAATATTCTTTCGATCTTAAGTTTTGAGAACTTTGTAAAAGTAAGGTTTTCTGGTTTTGTTCTACAAGAAGCCTTGGCTTTAGGCTTTTAATATTGTACTAGCGGTTCTCATTCTATTGTTTTGATTGTAAGTTGAAGTTTGCCCGCCTTAAAATGAAGTAAATTGATTTTTAATTATTTACTTTAGTTGTGTCAATTGATTCAATTTTTACTATTTATTATCATCTGACTCTTATAAAATTATGCTTTCAAAATTTTAAACAATATCTAAGTAAAATCTAATTTCATAAAGTTGGACATACGAAGACCACCTGACATTTAACAGAAATTTGAACGGTTTCCATAATTTGCAACACTGCAATGAAATATCGATGGCCATCTTGCTTCTTAAAATGTTGAGGACCAACGTGATATTAAAGCAATCGATTGGGGACCAATATGGAGTTTTCTCATTTTGCCCGCCGTTTGGGCTGGGGGTGGGCGCGGCTCGGTTCAGTTCGGTTCGGTTCGGTTTTTTTCGGTTCCAGAAATTTTCGGTTCTTTAGTAAATGGAACAGTCGGTTCCAAATATAATTTTGGAACCGTTCGGGTTCCGTTCCGTTCCGTTCGATTCCGTACTATAATTAAATTT